TATCTATGTATGTATCTATGTATCTATGTATGTATCTATGTATGTATCTATGTATGTATCTATGTATGTATGTATGTATGTATGTATGTATGTATGTATGTATGTATAAGCATCTCGGCTCCATGGAGAGGAGAAAACAAGCCCTTCGGGGCAAGATCTGCTGTGTGGCTTGGGGGTGGCTCTGGCTTTGGTTGTGGGCTACGCTGCCTCAGGCTAGGGGACATAACCGTGACAGGGTTCCTTTTTTCGAGTCCTGGCTGAGTGCTGATAAGTTTCAGGGAGAGAGGACGCCATGGCACCCCGACCCTTCAAACTCACACATGGTTGCAACAAAATCCCATACAACTACTCGGAGCCGGATCCACTACAGCGCTACGTTCGGGAGGTTGTTGAACACAAGCTTTTCTTCACCCTCTGGTTCCGCCAGTCCATACGACTGCAACTGGCTTTCCGGAGAAGATGCGATAGGCGGTGGCACGATGCATCATCCTTCATTATCCTGTACGAGGGCTGGCAGCTGCTCATCGGATGTGACGATCGCCTGGGGATGCTTCGTGCCATCAGTGGGTTCGATTTGGAGTTTGGGGGCTCTATGTTTGTGGCTCTTTGCATACACCAAAATCCCGAACTGGACACGCTGGACTAAACCCAGCAGCCTGCCCTTTTGGAACAGGACCAGGATTGCCATCCGCAGGTCTTTGCGAGGAGCTGGTAAACTGCACAGACAGCAAAGGTCTCAAACCAGGGCATCGACACACCTGGAGGACCTGGAGCAAGCCTTGACATGTTTTCTGCCGGCAATTCTGTCACTCATTCTGCTTAGTGGCAGCACTCACTTGATCGGATGCAGAGTGCTACAGGCTGCCCATGGCTGCACCCGCCAACCGGCTGCCACCATGTGCCCCCAGCCCTTTCATCCTAACACTGGTATTGCGCTTCGCGCAACCCGGCTGATCTGTGTTGCTCTGCTATGCAAGGCCCGACAATGCTCGCTAGGGAAGGCTCAAGGCACAGCCTCGAATCTGTGGGACAAGCTAATCATGGCGACGAAGTCTGGCACGGGGCCGGGTGAAGCCAGCTCATCCGAGGAGTATGTGGAGGTGCAAATCGAGCCAGAAGCTAGCGAAGGACGTGGTGTGGCAGGTGACTCTGCCGAAGGACCTCCTGGCGAAGGACTGGATGTGCCGATCCCGGTCCCGGTGTGGATCCTGGCCCCATCTGCCAGCACATCGCACATGCGGTGGGGGAGACCCTTGGCTTGAATGGGCGCGTCCTCGCCCATGAGCAATGCTGTAGATGCTGCCGGGTTTGCCAAAGGCGACAATATTGATCATGTTGCACCCCTCCTGCAGCTGCAACCAGAGCCGGAGAAATCGTCCGATGTGCTACATGCAGATGAAAGTTGCCCATCACAACCACCTTCAGCCTTGCCTATGCTGCGAATGACCAGGTACAGTATGATGACCTCCTTGAGAACGGGGCCGGTGACCTTACATATTCAGACTGTCCAGTTTGCGGTGACGCAAGGCCACCTCGTTATCCTGATCAGGTCGCTCTGGGCCCTACTCATTGAGCAGAAGCTGGAACCCAAGCGGATCCCGCGGAGTGACAACAGCATCATCACATTCTGCTGGCATGCTCTCACGTGTTGCAGACTTGTAAAGAGAGGAACTGCTGGATGCCTTCAAGCCCGGTTCGTGTCTGTCGTGAGCTTCAATCTGGGGCGTCCTCCCGCTTCCTCTCTGCAGGCTCAACCCTGGCTGGTAGACTGTACCACTACAAGGAACATGGTGGAAAGGACTGCCGACAGCTCCTCAGGAGAATACATCAATGCTGCTGGCTCAGACTCCAACTCGGGACCTACTGCTGAGGGAGACAGAGACCACAACACCCATGCAGATGTTGCCTGGGCAGACGAGGACCCGAATGTCCCGTACAACCTGAGGCCAACGTATCGCCACTTTGCCCTGAGGCTTGCAGGAGCGGTGTGTGAGACTCTTCGTCGTCATGGCAACCGCCGCCCGGAGATACACATCCTTTGTCACCCGCCGGAAAACTGGAGGACCTCCGCACACCGACGAGGGTCCGGCGGAAGTGGGCTCCCCAATTGCTCTTCGTGCTCTTTGGGGTCATGAATGTTCACCGGCACCTACTACCCTTTGTTATTGTCACTTGGCCCACTGTGTGCCCAGGCGAAACCATCCTGAAGGGGAGTAAAAGGCTCGACCTGCGAGCTCCAGCCACGGAAGGTGGACTAGACTGCCCTAGAGCTGGAAGCCTCACCCGCCCACCCGACCAAATGGCCGAGCGCAGTATCAGCGATCTACCAGAGCAGTGGCGGAAAAGCAGTCCAAGTCTGTGCACTACCTCTGCCTGCATCTATACCAGCCTGTGCTCGACGATGCTAAACCCGATCAGGTGCAAGATCCCGACCCGGTGGCGATCCTGTCCAAGTACCACTCAACGACGGCCCATAACCTGGCTACTTCTCTTTGTGAGTCTGATCATGACAGGAACCATTGCGGCCTTCAGGCAACCCCTTCTGATCCTGGTGCTGAACCTCTTCCTGCTCCAGTGCCCCGTGAGCTTGATTCTCAGAGCTGCTCAAGCAGGTATACACTCAGCCACACAGCCCCTCAGGCACAAGCCCGCTCCACCACAACGACTTTTCACCAAGAGCCGCTCGGGTCCCAAGTCCCGAGGCTACAGTCACACACACACCACTTCCGATGGACGTTGCTGATCATGCTGCTTTGTCAACTAGTGCAGGCAGCCAGAGCGACTGTAGCAGATGCGAGGGTTAGGTTTCCCCAGCGCCCAGGGAACCTTGAAGCCAACCACAGGCAACACCCCACACATATCAGGGCGAAGCCGAGAGGTGACTGGAGTCACGCTATCCGGCAAACAGGTGGAACCCAACCAGTTCGAAAAAAGAGCCTTTCGAAGAGCTCTACACCGAGCTCGCCTCAGCGAATCTCAGTCCACCATGTACAGAGGACGCCGACTTTTTGCATGGACACCGCAGCACAATGAGAGTGGACAGCAGGTTGTGAACAACATGACTGGCCGTCCGGCTCACTCCCGGCTCCGGATCATCTCCTGGAATGCAGGAGGCCTTGCTGGGCACAAATATCAGGAAGTGCTCACATGGCTGCAGCTCGAGCATGAGGCCAACCGAACAGTGGACATCTGCATTCTGGTTGAAACCTGCTGGCAGGACAGCCTCGAGTACACGACGTCTTTCCAGGTGCCGAACTCCATCAACTGGCACGTAGTCCATTCCACTGGGAGGGACCGCGCAGGAGTTCTATGCATGGTTCGCAGCAGCCTCATATCAGCAGATCGCATACGCGCAGCTGAGCTACTGCCAGGCAGATTGCTACATCTACGCCTGATGTTCCAGGCACCATTAGATCTCGTTTGCACCTACCAGCATGCCTGGAATTTACAAAACAAGGCTCTTCGCGGATCGGACAAGACGACTGCCATGCTCAAACTACGAAGGCGGGTCTGGGATCAATTGGATACCTGGCTCAGCTCCATCCCAAGAAGCCATGGCTGTGCGATCATAGGCGACCTCAACCAGTCGGTACTGGCAGACCCACCGGTGAGTGGATCAGGTCTACCATCCCAGCACTCAACTCCTCATCCTGACCAATCAGTCTTCATGGATATTCTCAGGGCCCATCAATGTTGCGTCTTGAACACCTCGGGACGGTCAGGACCATCCAGCCGCACTTTTCTCTCCCCGGGGGCTGATCGCACACAGCTGGGCACTCAAATTGACTTTGTGATTGTCAGGGGAGCGCCGATCGACCTCGGTAGTCGATCATGTTCGGGACATTCGACGGGGAGATTCAGGTGCCCGCCGAGCTCCAGGAAGCCACCCAAGAGCTGGACACACTGAAGGCACTCCTGCCTTCCCTGCCCCAAGCCTTTGCCATGGACCTGGAGGAGCCGGAGAGCGATCACAGCAGGCCACCGAAGTGGCCAAAACCAGGGTCCAAGGGCCCCCGGACCTGGAAAGACAACGCTTGGCAAAGTCAGAGCCACCAGGCACAGTGGGAATGGGAGCCTCGTCGACCCAGCTGGAACCCCAGACAGGAGGACTCACAGGTTGTTTGGCCGAGCTCAAAGCCATCATTTCCATGCTGACCACATTGGTTCTTCGCCAGGAGATCCAGCTGAGCGTGAGTCGCCAAGACACTGCATACGTGGTGTTCATCAAGACCCAAGGCCAGGACAACCTTGCCCAGAGCCTATACAACATAGGACAACGATGGCATCAGATGAAACAAAGCAGCCCGGAGAAGCTCACTGCCCCGATGCGCTCGGTCCTCTTCCAGCACTTTGTGGAGACTATCAAGAACAAGTTCACCCAGATGCTGGCCTCGCCATCCTCAAGGTCCCGAGCTCAGGAGCTCGGATTGATCTCGGACAAGGATGCCTCCATTCCCGGACTACGATGGGACCCGACAGCCAAGCAGCATGTGCCGGATCCCCGCATCGAGGTCATTCAGCCGGAGGTGATCAAGGCCTCACTGGACAGACTCCTGATCCTTGGATCCAAGGAGTTTGTGGTGACACGATTCCACGGGATGCGCAAGCTCAGCGAGGAGTACAGCTCCCCGACCCTGGGAATGTTCCTGGAAATCGGCAATCGCACCAGCGAGGCCAAGGAAGCTTGGGAGATACTGTACAGGCTCAATCAGTCGGCAGCATGGATGGCAGGCGGGTGCTATCTTCGTCACGAGCAACTGCAACTGAGTGCATTGGCGAAGAGACTTGCAGCAGTGACCAAGTGAGAGGCATGCGCCTTGGCAACTCCAGTAATTTCTGTTA